TATAATGAAGATTAGCTCAGCTGCAACCTCCATGACTGTAGCACTGGATAACTAGGTTTCGAATCTCCACCGGAACATCAGTTCTTTCAGGGCTGTAGATACGCCTTGTTGACAAATACTAATAAGCCCACTTCTCAAATCCAGATACCCAACAATGTGAGATATATTTTGATGTGGAAAATAATACCTTACATGCAAAACGAAATCAAGTTCATGGCATATTGTTGTAATGCGTTTTTTGCAGCCCATTATTTAGATTGACTCAAGAAACTACCAGTATGTGGACAAAGCGGTTCACAAAATCCTGCAGCTCTTTCTTCTATTGATGACTGAAACTTGCGTTACTCTGCATCGAAGCCAATAAATTTTTCAATGGACCGATAAGTGCCAGTAAGCATGCAGCCTAGTTCCAAGATATCCTGCCAAATGGTGCCTAATGTCCAACTTGATCATAAAACGCAGATACAAATGAACAGTAAAGTTATGTCGCTTCACTCAGTGAAATCTCTGCACACCTGAGCCAGCCACAACTGAGTACTATCCATTCGGTATTTCATACGTTACACAACCCCCTCAATAAATGTCTTTAAAAGCCTCACCAGTATTAAAAGTGATATGAAGTTAAAACGAGCAGAAAATTAGGCATGGTGCATTGCTGTATCATTTCCTTCAATCCATCTTACTATTTACTCAGATGTCATATATCTTTTTATAAATGAAGGCAGGAAAATGTCTAACCATCAGTTTACATACTCTATGTGTCACTGCGTTTTTGTAGTTAAATAATTCAACAGCACTAGTTGCCTTTCAGCAGATCAATACTTAAAAAAGATCATCTCAGTAGAAACTGGATTAAATGAATTTAAAATGAGAACCAGTAATAACTGAATAATTTAAACAATTAAATTAATTAATGAAGATATAAAATTCTTCAAAACATAGATCTATGCACGGATGAATATAAAACACATTGAGTAGTATTGAAGTCTATTTTATTGCCTCAAAAATTTAATTTCTTTCAGCCTTTCAATCAATCATCATTATTATCCCCATTCACATCAAAATTACCTATCCATTCAAACACATACATACACTGTTTTTGAAAAGGGATATTTCTTTAGTGCATCAAGTACAACCACTTATTGTTTACTTATGCAATACCTGTGGGAATAATGTGTCCACCTATAATGCTTAACCATATGTAAATAATGCAAAGAATCAAGTGTGTATGTATGTGTATATCTGTCTTTGTGCCCATAAGCATGAGAAAGTTGCGTAAGTGCATATGTACAGAGCAAATATATGCCTTAGTTTAATTTCTATTTGACGATATCAGCCATTAAAAATGTGAATGAATATAAGTAAATACAAACAGCAGAAAGCGACACCTAATTAGCATTTCTCTCTTAGTGTTACTCTGCCTTTCTTTTTTCTTTTCTACGTTTCTGTTTCCTTCTCTCAATAAAGAAAAATACTGACCTAATTCAAGATTTATATAGAAATAATAAAAATAATCGGCTCATTATATGATGTTGAGTGTTTGTGTTTTTTTTTGTAAACTGTTTTTTTCTCACCACTTCACTTACAAATTTTTAATTTTTCTTCTACATTGTATAAAGCATCTGAATTCTTCTAAAATACGAAAGGATTTTTAAAAATTACTTGATATATATACATTTTCAAATATGAATTATAAATTAAGTTTTCACTGGTTAAATATGACCATATATATATATATACCGATTTACTGACTATTCAGTGGATTGATTCAACGACTAAATTCTAAAAAAAACATACTAATAATAGACTGAAACAAAACAAGTATTTCAGTGAACCTTCGATAACTCTAAGAGAAGAATTTCATCAGCTTTGAGGACAGACTTCTTCACAACAACGCTAAGGGTAGTGTTCTTCAGTTGTTCAATAGCCTGCAGAAGCCTGAAGGACAAGATCTTGCATGTGACGACTTCTAAGTGTATATATTTGCCTGCCTGTTCTTGTGGAGCAAGTTACATTGGTCGTCCAACGAGTATCTTGACTGTACGGGTTTCAAGAACACTATCCGCATGTTTGAATAAAGTCAACAGTGGCTTTATGAGAAGCTCAATTATTGAACACCTTGTCACCAATAGTTACTCTACTTCAACAAACACCTGCTTCAAAGCAATCTAAAAGGTGAAGGACAACCAAAGATAATTCGCTTCCCTCTGCCCTACATTACCGAAGGTGCAGCTATTCAGATAAGGAAACTGGAGCTTTCCATACATAAGAAAACTATCAAGCTACTGCCGTAATCATGGTAAAGATGTTTTTTTTTACTAGCTGAATGTTTCCTAACTCATTATAACACTGATGTCTTACGTAATGTCACACTTTCCCTTCTTTCAGTGTGAGTCTTGATTACAACTCATTTGTTAAATTATTTATCCTATTACGTGACTTCATTTCCTTTACTCGGCCACTCTTACACATTGATTAATATAAGTAGCAGTGTTTATGACAACTTATCACTTTCGCTACTGTCCTCCTTCGTGAAAAAAGTGTATTTGAATGCAATTTTACAGCTAAAGAAAACGAATTCACTGAAAAGAGCATCACCTGTAATTCGTTCTCTTCATGCGTAACTTTTGTTTCGAAGCCTCTTGTAATTCATATCAAGTTGAAAATAATTATCATCTTTTATTCGCCTTTAAAATTACTTCTCCAGTTATCAAATATTAATTTTGCATACATTGTTACTGTTTTATAATCCTATGCAATCTTGTCTCTAAGCCCTTGTATTCTGTATTCGTACTTTCAAACGTTCATACCATTATTATCTCCTTCGTTACTATATGGAATTAAATATATAATAATTTTATCCATGTAAACTAATGTATATAAATGTGACTGTACAGCTTTTGAGAATGAAATCGCCGAAAAGATATCTTTGCTGAACTTCTTGTTCTTTACCCTTTAATATCATGATACTTTGGAATGAATTAAAAGCAGGTTCTCTTTTTTCAGAAAAAATAGAAATTTTAAACCACCAAAAGTATTTACTTTTTGTTCAAAGCATACTTATTCATATGTTATAATTATAAGTTTCCAATATATTTGTAAGTGTCATAGGAAAATTCAGTAATTTCCAACTGGCACCTGAAGTTTTACATTCGTATAATTACTTTTATTACCTATGTAAAGCACACAAGAAGAATTTTTTATCAGAGATGATAAATACGAACACTGTCTGACAGTCTACATCACTATTTCACTGATAAGAAATCTCATTCTTGTTTGTAAATTAATGAGAAACATAGGATTTGCATAAATCTCGTATTTCTAAATGAACTTAAGAACTCTGATTGGACACTAGTAACTAGTGTGATGTGTTTAGGCCTATCTTTGGTGCAGACTGAATTGTATCAGCAAGGTTTGCAATATGACCACCATGCTAGGTGGATCGCAATCATGGTGCGCACGGGTGGTTGGAAGTGATCGGAAGGAAGCCTTGAACCTAGTTACTAGTATCCAATGCAATCACACAGGAGGTCAATCGCAAGCTCAATTAGCCCAGTGGTAACGTCTCTTACTGAAGCAATAGGTGATGTGGTTTCGAATTTCATAAGGAAGAGTTTCTTCGAGATTGCAGATACGCCTTGCTGACTGGTGAATGCCAACTAGAACGAAACACAGGTCAGGTGTGGCTTCCTGCCGATCGTATAGTTCCATATAATATCATCGAATATTTAAAATACTTGTAGTACTCATTCCATGGTAAATCGGAAGAAATTTTATATTGAAACTCTTCAGATCCACAGTACACTAGTTTGACATTACGAGTAATGCCGTGTAGAACCATGATATCACAAGCTCAGTTAGTTATATTGCAGTCACTGCGTCACAGTTCATTGACCTATTACGATGTCTGTATCCCTCGTTGAGTTTTTAGTTAGCACTGCTAGAAAGTCACAAATGATGGTGAAATAGTTTCTCAGTACAATGTGACGTTTTGTGCTTATTTGAATAATGCTGTTTTTAAAACAAATCTACTTCAAAATAAATTACAAGTTCACATATTTTAGCCTTGATAACACATACAATACTGAACAGCATAGCTGGGATTTTAATTCATTCAAAAGCTAAAGTAATCACGCTATTTAGCGTACTTATAGTCTGAATGTGGTCTGTTTAGGTCAAAAAACAATTTTCACTTCTTTATATTATACTATAATTATGATTCACTAAACAAAATCCCTACTCATGATGTTATGTGTATACTTTGTATTAGTCCTAACAAGTATCTTGAATACATTCCTGTAACTTCGAAATAACCTATTTTCACTTTTAAGATATTTGGTTGGGGGATTGGTTTATCTTGCGGCTAAACCGCAATGAATACAGGTGACTAGCTTGGAGAATCACTCACGAAAAGATGACCAAAAGAAACTCTTAACCTTTACGTAGGTTACATCTTTCGTGCTTACAAAGACAGTGGCTTACTGAATGCAATACAAAATTGACATAATCAAATTCTATCAGCGCTAGAGACTAAATAAAATTGCATAGGCCATTCTGTATTTACCTATGAGTATAAATCAATGCCGTGTTTTTCAGAGATGTCGGAATTCCGCCGATTGAATGATATATATCTACTTCATCCTTTGAAAATGATAGCACGCTTCCTTATTTTAGGATTTTGTTCCATTTTGGAAAGCTGTCACACCTCATGAACTCGAGGGGTCTAAAGATGTGTATTAACTCATACGTTTTACAAATTGTCGTTCATTTCCAGGTCTGCAACAATTTCCTCATATTAGAACTTGTGTTTAATGCTAGAGTACTAAAGTTCCGTTGATAAGTTTGAAAACAGCTTTAATTCACTTCAGAAATATCACTTATGGTTAAAGGATTTCAGCCCCAAGAAATATCTAATCTTATTGATTTGTACCAGTTATTTCATATCAATATATCAACCTGTTAAAAAAAGCCATTTTTATCTTTCTGTCGTTTTGCCGCAGGTACTGCTATGTTTTACAACCCATCAACTGGCGTCGTAATCAATCCAAATACAGGATTACTGCCAACTACATTACAAACAAGCCAGCTAACAAGTCCTCAAGAATCACAAAACACCAGCTATGAGTTACTTAGTTCCCCATTATTCAATCATTCATTACATGCAGTCCAACCAACTACTTTCATTGCTTCTAATTCACCACATCAAATTTTTCACAATACTGCGAGCAGTATTTTCACTAATAGTGATCAGACTAGAGGTCAGCTAAATGCCAAAAATACTATCAATAACAGTCATGACAAACATATAAATGCTAACTGCACACTATCACTAACACAATGTGATGGCCAAAAAGTCAAAGAATTTCCCAACAGTAACGATAACCATTCTAACAAATTACAATATTTTCTCAATTCAATGACAATATCTTCACTATTACAAAATGGTGAAACAGCTAATTACAGATCATTAGCCAGTTCAGTAAATCCCTATTTACAAACAGATGTTGTGAGTCCAAAATGTAGCACAGTAACTGTCGATCATCCTCTCGTGACTAAAATTTCGCTGTATGAATCGCCTTGCCATCATCATCATCAGCATCAACATCGTTCATCCCAACCACAATTTATAAGTCCACCATCCATTACAGCATCTCAACAACCGTCATTTAACGAAATGAATTTTCATCGTGTAAATGTGTCTAGTAATAACCTGACGACTGCACAAACTCATTATGTCCTCACAAGTACAGCAAATGAAATTGGTTCTAATCAGAAAAGAATCTTTTCTAACCACATACAAACCTCACCAGTCTCAATAATTCCAAAGATTGAATATAATGTAAGCATTCGATATACTTTCATTTTTCTATTTTCAAATGTAAATCTAAAGATAAGCTATGCTGACGAGTACCAGCAACCACGAAACCTAGGTTGAAAGCTCCCTGCCTATCGCCTTCAACCATCTAAGGTGTGAAACTACTGATAATTTTGTTTAGTGTTTAAATAAAATATGACGAAATATATATGTATATTTTTATCCCAGATGTTGCCATTACGTGCTTCTGTATTACATATTTACAGTTCCACTTCATAACTTGTAATTTATATAGTTCACAAATATTTGTAGATAACTTTTAGTAGATGACTTATGCTTATAGTTACATCCTTATAGACAGCCACACTAAAAATTTATTCATCTATAACATTTTGACTTGCAGTTACTTTTTTTAAATCAGCACGATAGAAGACGAATAACAAGAGAATTTGTATTCATAAACAAAATGCGGTGAAAGGAATATACCTGTGCAGTTGATTGCTTCAATGAACACAAACCATGAAAAGGTATGGGCTACGGATTATAACTGACAGGATAAACACTAAGACAGGAAAAACCTGTTGCATGGAATAATCTGACCAGCCGCACCATGAAGACAGCATAATTTATTTTAAATTTTCATATTTAAAAAAAGTGGTATTTCATTTATTTCTTCAAAAGCTAAATACATTTTAAAATATACCAGTGTCTTTTAGGTGGCCTAAACACTACCATCCGGATAGACAATATTTTTCAGTACAACCTCTTTTTATAGCTCTAGAGGGATACATAAAGAAAGGATAGTGTTTCGTTTGATCTAGGAAAATCATTCATTATCATTAATCAAAAAGTTATAAAATTTATCAAATATTAAAACACCTATAAGTTAGACGGTTGGATGCAAATATCAGAAAGCCTTGGCTATACGTTAAAAGCCCAATGAGCCTCAGCAGCACGATGTATTTTCAATCTTGAGGGGACTGGTACCACCTTGCTAATTCATATCTGTGTGCATTTTAGGCTATATCACCTATGACTTTTAGGTATATTTAAGATAGTTTTATACCCTTTATAAACATTTTTATGTTACAGAAAACTTTAGTTGTCATATATTTTATTTAATTAACCTATGCAAGTCTTTTAAAAATTCTAATATAACTTTTGGTTTCTATATTAGCTATACGAATCGATTAATTATCCCTGGTATTTTCCATTTCTACAAAAAGTTCCATAAGAAAAAGAATATCAGTATGAAACTAAACATTAAGTAAAAGTTCCTTATTCGAACATACATAAAAGTATTTGAATGTTTACTTAGTGATTGTGGCTGTAACAGACAGAAACTTGCTCTGCAGTCAGTTAAAATTTTTGCACAGATAGGTGCACTTCAAAAATTGCAATTAATGTAAACAATTTGACGCGTTTTACACCGAAATGTCAATCAGCAACCACTGATTATTACACCGTTTTTAAAAAAGCTGCAACAGGCGCTAAGCACTGCAATGGAGTTAATTTAATTAGGCAGAAATTATTTTCAGGTCCACAATCTTACACTAAGAGTGAGCCCAAATACTACTCAATTCTCAATTTTAGTGTATAAGAAGGTTTGTAAGGAAAGATAGCTGACCAAATATTTTGTTCAGATTTCCACTGCAAGTATATATACAAAATGCTTTCACTATATTTTGACCTTTCAATGACCGGAAAGGCATTTGCCATAGCTACAGGCTTATAGTAGCCATCATCTAAATCCAAGACGTTATTTTCTTCTTATTTGGGACCCTTCAGTAGGATGCACTCCTATCCTATTAGGTGTCGGAATTCTCAGTAGAACTCAACCTCAGAACCCATCATTTCTAATGACACATAGTTATCCAGTAGACTATTTCAACCCAGAAAATATCACTTTCTATGTTGGTGGACACAAACTGTAACCCGTAACCTAGATTACTTCGTTAAAAAAATAATGGGTTTACGTAAATATTTTGAGTAACATCAAGATATATCTTGCTAGGATGTAGAGATAATGCCTTTTTAATATTTTAAGTTAGGACATTTTCACGACAATTAGCAAGCTTTTTCGATAAGATTGTTAAAACGATGTTTCATGAAAACTAGATTATATAATCAACTAAGTGCTTAACAAACTAAGGTCATAGAATTAAACGCTGAGCATGCCTTACTTTTAGTTCATACAACTGTGGTGTTTTCCAAATGTAGTGCTACTAAGCAATGCATAAATGTGCACTTACCATCTTTAAACCAACAATTCAGTTAAGTTTCAAATGAAGTATAAAGAGTAATAATTTGTCTGCTACCAGTAAGGCTATCTCACAAAGATTTCCCTAGGAAGACTGGTTTAGATGCGGTGAGAAAAAATTTACGTATCAGCTAGATTTAATCCTTAACGGCTGACATTAAGGTCAGACGGTCGTCAGTTGATTCTCATAGTTGATTTAGTGAAATTTTTGTGTATGATCTCAAGTAGCACTGCGTTTAATAACTTTATGATCTCTCTCTGTCTGGAATTCGATTATTACGCGATTATTACCTTTGCATTCATTATTGTTCACGTACAAAAAACGAGTGAAACTTAGCAGTCACAAGAAACCACTATGAGGTAAATTATTGCGTTGCCTAATTTAATAATTTATTTATCCGTCAATTGCTGAAAGAAGATTAAAGAATCCTTTATGACTTAGAAAATTGTTATGTAAACGTGTCCGCTTCGCACTAACTTCATGCTCTCTTTGATTAACCATTTCACTTGATCAATAGTGTCAATTCAAGCAATAAGTCAAATGACAGAAGTTTAATTAGCCTTCTTTTTTCTTATAAGAAATAGCTACTGAAAACAAACTTTATGATTTCTGATAGCTTTTATCTGACAATCGATATAACAAAAGACAAATATGCTGTTAATTACATTTTAACTTGAAGACTAAAAATCTCAGACAATGAAATATAGAAATTACTCCATATGTTACACTGTTAAAACAGTATTATTTAACACAACAAGAAAGTTAGTAATTCACAAAAGAAGGAAACGGATTAAGGAATGCAGCAAACAAGAACCATTACTATCTAATCATTATCCCCTTAAATTCATGTAAAATAGGATGCGAAAAATAGAAATAAAATGCATAATTGCCAATACCATTGTAGATATAATTCATATAATTTAATGTAAGAGGAATGAGTTCTGGATCTCCAACACACTATCAAGTCAGTTTGTTTACATGATTCAGAGACTTGGCTGACTCATTACTTTGACAGCTGCCTTCGCTGGCTCCATACTGAATGTCAGATGGCCAAAAAAGCTTATTAACAAAGAACTCTTGCAACGAACCTATCAAGAACCTATCGCCCCACAAACGTGCGGAAGTATGTGGAGATAATTTGGACGCACGCTCAGAATACCGTCGAGTTACATCGCGTACTAGGCTTTCAAGTGGAACCTGAATGAGAAAGGTACAGTTTAGCTTAGGGCTGAGTGTGACATTCAGGAGATCATGTGCAGAGGATACAAGAGCTCCTGACCAATCATCTAATCAGCCAGAAGAGAATTCAAAGAAAAAGGAGAAAAGGCGATGTAACTCGGAAGACCTATATTCCATCTGGAATTTAAGGAAATAATAATAGTTTAGAGACATCTAAGCCTAAATACTCAGTTCCAAAAACTCCTGTCAACCTGAACCTATTAAACTTAGTAGACAGACTAATTCACACTGGTAAACTTTGTTAAATTTGGAATAGCCGGGAAAGACTTGTATTTCAAGTTGATTTCTTTTATTCTACCAACCAGTTGGCTGAACTATGGAGCTGTCGCAGTTCTACTGAACAACATCTAATAGCCAACTTTACTTTTTAAGAAAGATAATTAAATTTTTTTAACTTCTCTAGACTGATGCAACTACTAAACAGGATTTTGTTTTTTATTATTTATTCTATTACTTTGCATTCCAAGTGAAAAACTGGGCTTCAGAATTAGGCTCTGGATTTCAGTAGCAATGATAATATCACCTTTTACGGGCTGGGCTTGCAAGCCCCATATCCAGCCTTTCCTCCTTGCGGGACTTACTGTTGGCTAAGCGAGGTTTAGGAGTGCATTGGTCAGTGACCGAACCCAGGATACTATGCTTGGGTGACTAGCAGAAATGTCATTTGAAGTCAATTGATTGGTGGTGACTAGCAGTGAAATTCAGAATGAGCCCATCACTGGACGTGCCTGCATTCCTCAGTAAGTGGTGATTTTCCCACTGAGGTTGGAACCCAGTGCCCATAGTCTGAAATGCCAAACCGTTATCCATCAGACCACTTGGGCCACAGATAGGATGAAATGTGCCTGCTGGATTTCATTGCTATCCACCATCAGCCAAATGACTTCAAGTTACATGACCATACATCTGCACAAGGGGCTGACATGTCAACCTGAAACTGAGTACTTCAGTCCAATCAATGAACAGGAAGATCTAAACTGAACTAAAGAAATGCTATTTGTCTTTAAAAATTACATGAGTAGATAAACAGTAAATTTAACAAAGCGTTAAAAGCCGAGTATTTCATAATGATGTAGTAGTCAGTCTAAACCCACGATGACTGAGATGAAAGTATTGCCTAACAAATAATTTGGTTTCACTTCAGAAATAATGAGATGTCAAAACATTAATTACTTTGGAATCCAGAATTTGAAACTCCATCATTGATAATGTTCTATTTCACTTTTTCATTATCATCTTTGTTGGTATATATAGAGTGACTAACTAAGTCTATCAGAGATCACTAAATAAAAAAACAGATTTATGAAACGAAGGAGAACACTGATGAGTTGCTTTTTTTGATGGTGACTTGGAGTAAAATCTATGGCATGTTTTTCGTCCGGTTTGAAGGTCATTGGATCAATGTACCTGCTCCGTAGTAAGCGCTTCGTCCAATAATACTAAAGTCAACAACCACTGCTTTGAATGCCAGTCTCATTCACCAGATCATTGAACCAAGAGAGCCAATTCTTTTTCAAAAAGTATGATTCGTCATATCTGTTGAAATAACCCAGTTAAAGCCAGTCCAGATAAACTAACAGGAAATCGCAAGTACAAACACACAATAATTTTGGCATATAGTCTGATTTTTGAGTCCTCTAGGTTACATAACATTGAATTCTATCCTTTTGTCCTGTGTATTTGTACCCAAATGGTAGAGTTTATCGTCTAATAAATTAGCATACGCGAAAGGTGCAAACTTACATCATGCATTTTCCTACTTATCCATAATAGTAGATGATTTGCAAAGTTCACTTAGTTTACTTTTCCAATGGTCAATGTCCGTCACCTAAAGACCTCAAAATTAAGCTGTTAATCAACAAAAGTTTGATTATTATTATTAATATTATTGAAAAATATGCAAAATTTCAAAGCAGCAGTCGTGCAATATATCTGCTCCTCATTAAAAGACGATGTAATCCAGTCTGAACCTTCCAAAAATTCTTTAACACTTATACCTTCAGTATTTGAAACGATATATTTCTTATGCAGTCATTACCAGAATTTAATCATTGAATTTACATCTAACGCCTACCACATGAACGACACAGTGATGAGATGGAAAATATCACTAACAATAAAATCAAATGATAAAAATAATGGATTTATATAAATAAACTTTGAAAGGTGGCCCAGTGGAACATAGGGCCTCAAGTTAGTGGCTTGAAATTTCTGTAGCAGTGTTTGTTTTACAAGATGGGGTTGCTAGTCTTATGCCCAACGTTTCCTATTCACCAGCGTTATTTCTGACTTAGCGAGGTGTAGGAGCGCGTCGGCCGGGGATTGAACCCTGGACCATGTGCATGATCGGCAAGCGGCCTAACCGCTGTGCCACGGACGCACTTATGAGTAATAAATTTCTCTTAAGACGTCATAAGTAAATAGTGCTGTAACACTGAGTGTTTTTTAAACAAAGTGATTCTATGACGGAGTGACTTAGTTTTATCTATATGTCAATTACTAACACTCGGCTAACAGTAGATTCATAACTTCTTCCATTTTCTTTTCATAGGCTTGTCCTATTATTCATACATATAGAAGTGGATGAAGATATACATATATCTCGCTTACAATTTTATGCCGCCTGTGTCAAAGGGTAAGATAAATCATTTTGCTTAGGTTTTCAAAAATTAATTTATTCTTTGTTATATAATGCATAATTTAAATCACTTACAATTTAAATAACAAAAATAAAAGATTTCTCGTTCAATAGATTCTACAATTTAAAAACAAAAATTCAAAAAAATTTAACTTCATGAAATAAAAAAGCAGATTAGAAATTCTTTTGAAAAATTGACCACTACAAGTGTTAAAATACTGCATATTACTGTAGGGAAATAAAATTCTTCTTCTAGCAAAACTTGTCATTTTATAAAGCTACCAGATTTTCCATACAATACCATCTTGAGAGTTAATTTAATCAGTACATCTATATTCTGAGATGACAGCTATCACTCAAGACTTGAAGCTGACAAACTGGGAACACCTTTTCTTGCTAAAAAAAGTTCTCGAAACTGATCGTAATACGTAAAATGATGACTAATGTATAAGTTCTCTAAAACTGAAATTAAAAATATATATGGTGTGTCTGATAGAAAGGCTATTACTTTACTTAATTACTTAGTCTATTCGACAAAAGATCGATTATAACGTCGACTTAATTATTCTGCTCACTACCAGTGAACAATACAAATTGAGTTTTGTGTTACGTGACTAAAGGTAATCAACAAGAAGCCTTTAACCTAGATTTCGTACATATTAGCATTCATTCACTAGATCAAGGGAACTAATACATCTTGGATACTCTACTGCAATGACTGCTGTTTTAGCTAAAGCAGGAATAGATAATCCTGATATGCATAAGCTAGGATAGTTGTATTTCAGTAGGCCAGTGAAACCATGGATGCTATCCACTAAATCGTCAAAATATACTGAAATCTTTTCTAATGGTAAAATGTACATTTGTACATCTATTTAAATAGTCTAGGCATTGTCCCTAATCACGTCAGACGCTTCATAATGATACATACAGAAATCCACCTGTTTCATAGTACTTTCTGACTGCAATTTAAAGGTTAACCGTTGATCATTCATTTGTCAGAAATAAATAGCTCCTTAGTTGTTCACCAAAAACAATAACTTATCAGTTCACTTAACAGTAGTTGTTTAGTAGTATACCGTCGTTATAGTGAATTTTTATTGAATACGAAATCCTATGAGCTGTAGTTTTAGTACAAACTAGTGAGAAATAAATAAGTCTGTAGGGTGGAATGTGATTTTTCCACAAATTTTCATCCACTCTCTCTCTCTCTCTCTCTCCCTCTCTATATATATATATATATATATATATATATATATATATATATATATAGCTATACAGATTGTTACAATTTGCAAATGAATAATTTAAATGTTGTTAAAGTAAAATGAGAAATCCAATAGAAATGAACTGTTATAACTCCTCTTGTTTCATCTCCAAAATTACTATACACCACGACAATTTAATTTTGTAAAACCTGTAAGTTTTTATATAACGGATGGAATGGAAATTTCCTAGCACCGTGCAAATGATGGTACATAACGAGAATAAAAGCGAAATCTTACTACTTTCCAGTAATCAGTAGTATTGTCTTTTATAACAATAAAATGTCCTTTGTATTCAGTAAGATGCAGATTATATTTGATTCACTTAAGAAAAAGGCCTCAGCGAAAGGTTACTCTTTTTAAGGGTTTTTATTCACAAGCTGTACCGTTTCATACAATAAGTCCATTTCCATAGCGATAAAAGGAGTGAGTGTTTCTAAGGATGTGTAATTTCAATCGTAAGTTTTTTATAACAACTACGAGATACAGAAAACATTGATAGAATAATGTTATATGGACCTAATTTTCCTAAAATACCACATTTACCTTTACGTTGCTGTTTGTATTCTCCTAACCCCACTTATGCCCTTAGAACCCCACTGGTCACTGACTGTTTTAACTTTTCAGTGTAATTAGTGCCTCTCAAGACCATCCAAAGTATATATATATATATACGCACTTGCTGCCAACTATTTCTCCGTTGATATGAGACAGTAAAAGCTCTCAACGAAAACGATCTGTCTTATCTTGTCTTATTGCGTCGCGGTTTTGGTGGTATCGTATCTTGTCCTTGTTGTTGCTAATTGTGATCAGAACAGAAGACTAGGGAATCTACTGGGTAGGGAATTCGTTGGATTAAAAACTACCATATTCTGTAGAAACTCAAATGAATCTAAATTAGTAAGTTCACTGACTCAACGTGATTGGTAGAACTAAAAAGAGCTAGATTAGAACCAACGGATGGCCAAGTTAACAACAGTGTTACAAGGAGTAGAAACGTAGTAGTGAAACGAAAGAAAAATGTTAAGATTTAATAAAATATCTGAAGAAAAACTAAGATTAAGAAAATTTACGTATAATATTTTGAGATAAACTAGATACATTGTATTTCCAGTAACTGAATGGACTTCTATATTCAAAGATCAGGATTTGAAGTACAGATAGGCACATCTGTGGTTTGAAGAAGTCTGGGTCTTTCAATTTATGTGTACTCCGTAGATTGCTCTGATGTTCGGAATCAATTAAGTGTTCCAGAAAAGAGGTACAGATAAATCCTTTCTTCCGCTTTGATACCACGAGGTTAAGTGTTCAGTAATAGGTTTGGGCAGCAAATGTTGATTACGGCCAGAATATTCAGCTGCACGGGAGTAGGTGAAATGATAGGTATATATTGATATACTTTTCCGTAAATCAATACATATCATCGGGTTTGTCAAAAAAAACCAGTCGACGTCCAGCTGCAAAATAAGTGTGCTTCAATGAACGGGAAAACGGTTCTTTATTATTTCTGCTCATTAGCCTCCATTGAGTTAAGGATTCAGATAAAGATTTTTCAGGGGAAAAATTTTGTTCTGTTTTGGTGGTGCAGGCTTCATGGATTTTAAGATGAAGCGTTCATGGTAGCCATTTTCGGTGACGCACTCATTTGTGGTATTCAGCTCATTTCCCATGGAGTTAGGATTGCGAATGTTGTGGAACTTGAGTCTTAGTGAGTGGTCCAAGTTCCATATTATATATAGTAACTTAAATGTGAAAGTTTGTGAGTTTTCAATTACATGTCAGCTTTCCGTGGATGGATCATTTCAGTGTTCCATAATTACATCTTGTGAGCTAAACATCCAGGTAGAATATTTTTGAATCAGTCTTCCTCTAACATGAGCTGCATCACAAGGTGACAGTTGTTGGAAGAATCTAGAATATCTAACGAATTTTCTTCGTTGTTGGGGATAATAAAACTGTCATCCACTTAATATTCCCATGAGAATTCTTGGAATTAAAAAGTGATACGCAGTAATTTTTGTTTGTATCTTTTAAGTAGTTTATAAACACTGATTTACCAAATCATATACGTCACCATGATTTCTATTATGAAATCTAAAATACTCACTACATTATATATTCGGTCTGACCAACACCAAAAATGGTGTACGATGTACTACAGAATGATGTTTGGAAACACCTCCATAACCTTATCAATGCTAACCAAGTTTCATTTGCCTTATCCGGTACCGAATTCATCAGTCGTTTCCTCAGACTGATTCATTTCATTTAATCAGATTAATTCAACTACCCGTCTGAAGTTCATATTGTAGAAATCGATATTTATACGTCTGAAATTATTTAACTGTTAACTTAGATTATTTAAACACTGTGGCTTCACTTGTCTAAACAAAATTTAACTGGTGGATGGTGACTAGCAGTGGAATCCAGGATGCGCATTTCATCCTATTTGGGACTCGTCATCTGGATGTACCTGCATTTCACAGTGAGTGATGATATTCCCACTGAGGCTCAAACCCAGTGTCCATAGCTTCAAACGCCAAAGCTTACATGTCAACCTGAGACCGAGCACTTCGGTCCAATCAATCGATGGGAAAATCAAAAATTCAATTATAATTTCCCTGAGTTAGATTTCACCACCAACTGACATCATTTAGACTGCCTTTGTAAAACAATGAGTATTTGATGACGTTTTCATTTTTTCGTCTTTGAGTTATTAGCTGATGCAGTCTTAACTTTTGATTTCTAGTGTTCTCCTTATTAGTCTAAATAAACGTTAAGCGAAAAATGGTGTGTCTTGCAAAAGTGAATATTAAAATGAAATTTACAACCGAGTATTTTTTACCCATTTCAGGCACCTTGATATACTTAACCGTTAAGTTTTAGCAAGTTTGATCAACCTCTGTGAGGATGTCTTTACAGACTGATACTTATAAGAAAAATATTTAAAAAATAGAAAGTAATGTAAAGTGATTTCATCGAAGTTTGAATACCACCGGTGATGGTGTCGAATGTCCAGGTCGGAAAGATCCTAAACCTAACGGTAATGCCAGAGGACTATGCTAACAAACCGAATACTATGCACAGTAACCAACACTAAAACATCAGAAAACGGAAGCACAATATGATTGTTTATTCCTCCACCGTTTATGAAACAGGATTACAAGATACCATGTGCAAAGCCTGTGAATAAACTTTTAAAAAATGTACAGTAATACTTGTGGTCGTCTTTCTCCAGTCCTCTGACAACCAGCATACAATTAAGCAACGACTGCCATTGTTGTCTTACGCCAAATGGAGACCACTAGGAATAAACAAACCATTCAGTGTTCCCCAACACTAACAGTGTTTTTTCAAGCTAAAACTGTAGTAAAAGAACCTAATTTGAATGACGTTCACCTAAATATAGTCTTCTAAGTCCAGCACTTCATACAATCGCAGACATATAGTGCTGAAGAGCCTTAAGCAAGGATGAAACAGCTACTCTATATTTGCTGAGAAAACTACTTTAAAACAATTATATTACGTGACGTGTAGGAATGGCATAGCTAACCTTCTTTAAAACCCTGCGTACTGTACTTTGTCATATTTTGATTTTGCAATAGTATACAGCAAATGATCGTTGAGTATGGCATTTCTATTATTGAAATGACTTCTTTTCTTTCACCTTTAAATTGTTGTTTCAATAAATCTTCTCTATAATGGAGTTATACTCTACCACAGTGCCCAAGTTTTATACTCATATAAATAAAGTTAGGTTATAAGAAGCATAAATTACATTTCTGACGTAAATATTAGGGGAATTCATAATGAGTCAGCCAGTCAGTCATTGAGAAGATGAACAACTGATAATCTTTGATATGAACAGTGGTCAGGATTTGATCGAATAGCTTCATAACATTTGGGTGCCGAGTGAGAAGTAGACATATGTAAAAATTATATTTATAAAATCCCAGCGAAATCGATATGAGTAATTCCAACGTTTCGTTCAACAAACTGGTCTGAACTTCTTCAGAGAAAGTTTTTAAAACCAAGAGATGTCATTTCCATGCATATATCTTTCTTACTTTAATTTCAGTTAATTTCCTTGAAGAAATTCGGACCAATTTATCGAACAAAACATTGAAATTACTCATTTAAATTTCGCTGAGATTTTACAAGTATAATTTTTAAAAGTGATAACCATTTTGAAATATTTAAAAATTACTATCGAGCGCTATATTTTTTTAAACATGATTTTTGCGGAGTCCTACAAAGTGATCAATAATTATGTAATTGATTTAATTTTCAGTGTTGGTAAACGGAGTTGGTTAACTCGTTCACACCTCTTTACCTTCAAGCTAATTGGTCATTTATTTTCGCTTCAAAGATATAAGCGAATCCTTGTTTTTTCAGCATTGATACTATTACAAATGCTATGATGACACTTGCAAACTGTGATTATCAAACTGTTTATCATTTTGTTGCACTTATATCCTTTATCTTTTACATCTTATAATGTATCTGAATCTTTCTTGACATTTATTCGTATATGTTTCTTAAAATTAAACTCAGGTGGACAATATTGCACACAAATGTACGATTGGATGCGAAATATCAAGAAATAAAACTCTATACAAAAATCGATTTCCTTCTACACTAGGGTACTTTTTTTTAATATTTTTGTTCTCTTTGTTTTTCTTTGCATTGCTTTCACTATCAAACTATCATTCACCCACATACTATATCTCTAACTATCGATAAATCCCATCGAATGTTGTATGTTTTGAAAACTGTTTCAAAATAAATTCTCTTCTGTTTTTCGTGTTTCTATGCTTATTTTTTGTCAAATTCTATATTTCCCATTTTTATTTGAAATTACCATGGAAATTATACATTCTTGTGATTTATATGTGTATATATATGCAAATCTTTTCCAGGGAGGACAGTTTATTTCAACTATTGATTTGGATAAATACATTAATCAGAATTATTTTCTGAAAAAGGAATACACTCAAAATCATAGTTTTACCAATAAGAAAAAGAACATACTTTCTTCTTTTATTCACAATGGAACTTAGATGATATGAGATGTTAAAGTGTTGAATTATTCATTCATACTGTAAAAATAAAACCTGTACTTTATCGATTGATATCCGTAAAAATTTATGTCGAGACTTATTCAACAGAATAATAAAAACTTTGTCTCTGTTCACATCTTTTCAAAACATTTAAATAAATAAACCTTAAGGCATCATAGAGGCGTTCACTACTAAAAGGTAACATATTAGTACATATCGAGCTTTTCGGCTAACAAAATTAATCAGTGCGGTATTTCGTAAGCAGGAACTATTGTGGGACATAGTTCTGCACTATTCTCTTCATTTTCCAGGACCAAGCACCAGTACAATATTCTATTCTTTGATAAAGTAACCCTAGGCCTTATTTATAATTTTTAACAGTTTAACGTAAGCAGTTGAAAGGAAGTATAACATATAATGGTAAAAATTGGTATAAAGCGTATTTGTTAAACCGACGGACCAACTGAAGTGTTTCATGAATCACTTTTAGGTTTTGTGTACTAGAAAAATATCTTCTAGAAATACATGAAATCACTGAACAAGAAGCCTTATCAGTTTTATCTTAATAGAACTCATTAGATTCGTTTGCGACACTGGGAAATGGAAGGTTTTAACCACTCTCTAGTAACTTCAAAATATCAATCAATTACCCATAAATTTTAATCTTCTTCAGATTCTGGTGCGAAACTGCATAACATTGAGAAATTCTTCCAATTCAACACTTTCGACAAATTTCGTGAACACCATGCTACATCGCTGCTTTACTTATATGCATCCGTTTTAAATCCATTAACCATGAGAACGATGGCAACATGAGTTGCAAACAAACTACAGAAAGTCAAATTACATTGCAGTATAGCTAATCACAGTTTCGTGGTTAACTTTATTTGTAATCACATTGAAGACATTTAACATTTTTCAAGCCAACTTATGATTCTTTGCTATATGGTTTGTATACTGAGTGGAGTACTAACCGGAATAAAGATGGTTTTTGAAATCTCTTTTTAAAATTAACCACTGTGAAACATAAGTTTCACTAGCTTCTAGCATATGATCCCACAGATTTTGTACTTACACACGTAAATAATATTTAGGAAATTTCACGGGTTTGCTACATTAGTCTGCTGTACTCATCAACAGAGGGCATCTTCAGTTGTGTATTCTTCATTGTTTGAATCTGAGTCACTCAGTGTTACAGTTAGAACCTTCACCGCTTAGTCATTACGGAGCTAAATGAGCAATGTAGAACAGGATTATTTATTCCATTGAGTTAATACATGGTTAACACTGTACTCCTCTGTTCCTGATTATATTGACTGATAGATTAAACAGCAATACTTCTACGAACAGTCTTATTCAGATTTTATTTACTTATTTAAATTTTGAATACACATATTTTATTTATGAAGAGGTTGAAGATAAAGTGAAGAGATTGTCTGTTCGCCCTTATATTATATTTACAATTCTACTGAAGGGAACAAAACAGTTGATACCAGATATAACAGTTATGGGAAGAAAATTTTGTGGGCATTAAGAAAATCATGAGCCTTGCATGAATTCCACTGATCATACATTATCATACATACTATACTAAATATGCTATGTTCGTCGTTGTCTGCTGATTATAAGATGTTCCTCAAAATTCCTTCTAAAATTTTGATTTTGTGGTTCTTCTAGTGACACAGATCATATTTGCTTCTCCCCAGAAGCTACTGTATATACACCGCTTGTTTGTATTAATAGGTAACGTATCACAGAATATCATCGTTTCTTACGAAGGTCGGGTGTGAGGATAAATAGTCGCTGAAGATACTGTCTAGCAGTCGCGCTATGTCGTGAATTGGCGGAAGCTGGAATTCATGGACCACTAGATCGAATCCCAGTGGCTTAATGATCTACGAACTCGCCTTGTAACCAGAAGGTTCTAGGTTTGGACCCCCCAGTGAGGGTGCATTCTGTTGAAAAATCCTAAACTGTGAGGAAAAAGATGTCCAGTACTCCCATGTCTTCCAATGGTTCTCTAACCGATATCAGCTCAGGATTAAATACTGTAACTAATCAATCAAATCCCTACAAACCAATACTTGAAAACTGAAATAACCTTAATGCATTTAGTTTACTTCCAATGATTCATTTTATAAGAACAAATACAATGCTTTGACAGAATTTCATGACCGATAAAACAACTAGCATGCTTGATGACTGAAATCGTTAATGTCACACTAAGATGTGACAAACATTTACACGTATATGGGTAGTCCAACAATTAATTTTTGTTGCATCTCCACAAATTCGACCAAATAAATAGAAAACATAAGAAAAAGCACAGTGCTTAACTGCATAGACGAATATACTATGAAATATAGGATTACTCAACGCTTAGCTAAATACTGTATTTGACCAGGCAATAAGTGACAGTAATTTCATTTTCGACGAAAAAATCCGCAGAGGCAACTTTGTGGTTACAGTATGAAGTCAGAAATCCTCCCGTTCTGTCGTCAGATAAATCATCCCACCAACACAGATTAGTAGAAATTGTTTCTACATTCTAAATACCCATATCAATGTTAGCTATGCTGTTATTCTTTAACAGACGGCCCATAAAACACACTGTTACCAATTAAATAAATACCTAGCCTAGTTAAGAAGTACTATTCGAAATAGACAAGTCAAACAGACTTATTAAAGTAAAGGGGATCCCTTATTATATTTTATTATTATTATCGCTCCCTTGGGTTCCTAGTGGAAAATAGGGCTTCAACTGCACGTCTCCACTTGCTTCTGTCTTCTGCTGTACTTTTCACCTGCATCCATGTTAGTCCATACTCTTTCAACTCCTCTTCACACGATCTCCTCCATGTCACCCTTGGACTGAGTCCCACACGCCGCTTCCCTTTCGGGTTCCACTCGAGGGCTTCACGCGCGATGTCACCAAGCGGTCTCCTCAGCGAGTGTCCGATCCATCTCCACTTTCTCCTGCATATTTGTTGGGCGATTGGTTCTTGCTTTGTTTGTTCCCATAATTCCTTGTTGGTGATTCTTTCCGGCCATCTGATCTTCAGTATAGAGCGAAGACAGTTGTTAATAAAGGTCTGCAACAGGCTGTTGGAAATATTCTTTGTGACCCACCCGCCAAGTTTCTGATCCGTATAGAAGAACTGACTGACTTGACGTTTGTATTGAAAATCCGAATTTTGTTGTTGATGCTGAGTGACGAAGATTTCCAGATTGATTTCAGGCTGATGAATGTGTTTCTCGCCTTCCCGACTCTCGATTTGACATCCTCGTCCGTTCCTCCTGTAGTTGAGACAATGCTCCCTAGATAAGTAAGTGAATGAAGTAACCTCTTTCAAATCCCTCCCGTTGATGGTGATTGACGTTGGATGTTGTTGCTGTTGTTGGTTGGTTATTTTCATAACCTCCGTCTTGTCTATGTTTACCTGGAGTCCTGTCTTTGCTGCTTCTTCGACCAGTTTGTCGGTTTTCGCTTGTAAGTCTTCGATTTGTGTGACATCAAACATAAATCATCCACGCGCGAAATCCAGGTCTTCTAGGTTCTTCACGTCGGTCCAGGATATTCCTGTCTTCTCGTTTCCCACTGTCTGACGCATAATCCAGTCCACCACAATTAGGAATATCATTGGTGATAGTAAGCACCCTTGTCTGACTCCTGTGTTTACTCCAAACGCCTCGCTGAGTCTTCCGTTGTGGATCACTTGACATGTGCCGTTGTCGTACAGCTGTTGAATAAGGTTGATGAATATTTGGGGTACGCCATAGTACTCGAGTAATTTCCAAATTACTTCACGATCAACGCTGTCGAAGGCCTTCTCAAAGTCTATAAAGTTGAGGTAGAGGTTTGATTGCCATTCCATGCTTTGTTCTGTGATGATGCGTAGAGTTGCAATTTGGTCAGTACATGATTTGCCTTTCCTGAATCCAGCTTGTTCTGGTCGGAGTTCTGTCTCCAGTGCGTCCTTTAATCTCTCCAGGATGATGCGACTCAGGATTTTACTTGGCGTCGATAGGAGCATGATTCCTCGCCAGTTCTTGCAGAGTGAGGCGTAAGTCGCCCTTCTTTGGTAGTTTCACGAGGTAACCTTTCCTCCAGTCAGTAGGCACCTTTCCCTCCTTCCAGACCTTTTGCAATAATGGAGTCAGCATGTCTGCTGTCGTCTCTGGGTCCGCTTTCAGTGCTTCAGGGGGTATTCCATCTGGTCCGGCTGCTTTTCCAGCTTTCAGAAGCTTGATTGCATTCAAGACTTCAGCTCTCGTTGGAGGATTGGTGTCAACTTGCAGTTGTGTGCGCGCTGTTGTTGGTATTTCTGGACGGGTTGCAGGTGGTGGTCGGTTCAAGAGTCCTTTGAAGTGATCCGCCCATTGTTTAATCTGTTTTTCTTCCTTGGTAATTGGGTTCCCTTGGCTGTCTTTTATAGGTTTCGCTTGTGTTGGTCTCTTCCCGGATAGAGATTTGGTTATCTGATATAGTGTCCTCAGGTCCCTTTTGCCTGCTGCCTTCTCAGCTTCAGTGGCGAGGTTGTCGTAGAATCGTCTTTTGTCCTTCCTAGCACTCTTCTTCACTTCTTTGTCCAATGTTGTGTAAGTTGAGCTCATCGTCTCCTTTTCCTGTCCGTCCTTGCATTGAATCATTTTCTCTTTCACCATTCTCCTCTCTTCTATTAATTTCCAAGTGTCCGTTGAGAGCCATTCCTTGTCTTGTCTCTTCTTTCTTCCTAGAACCGTTGAACACGTTTCGTTGAGAATCGCCTTCAGAGACTTCCAATGTTCTTCCACGCATGATTCTTCAGTGCTGTCGCGTAGTGTTTCCTGCTTTGCTCTGACAGTTGCAGTGAAGGTGTCTTTTGTGGTTGTGTCCTTCAGTAATTGAGTGTTGAACTTGCATTGTGGCCTATCCCCAGCTATCCTCGAGGCTTTTAGTTTCACCTTGAAAGTCCCTTCTACTAGATAGTGGTCTGAACCCACATCTGCTCCTCTCCTTGACCTTGTGTCCAGTAGGCTCCGTCTCCACTTTCTTGAAATTGAGATGAAGTCTATTTGATTCTTGGTGTTTCCATCTGGTGAAATCCATGTCGTCTTGTGTATATCCTTGTGTTTGAACACACTACCGCC